GTCACCGGTGACTTGTGTTTGAATGACTAAAGCGAGCCGTATTTGCTCAAACCCTACTATACTACCTCCCGCCCCCACTCATCGTACTTCGATAACACGACAATTTCACAAGTAGGAGTGCGATAAAGGCCGCATTGAGAAGGAGCCATTGCAGCCTGACCGTCAGTCCTAAGAAAAGCAACCAAGTAATCTCTAAATTACCAACGTACACAGGAACGCACCAACAGCAACAGTTCATAAGTGAGATCCAGGACTGGTGCAAGTCAACACTAGCTCATAAACAACTGAAAAGATGTGACACTAACTGGTACAATTGTCTTATCGACCAAAATAAGAAGAGAAAAGTCCACCACTGTCCGTCATGTTTTTGGAAGAGGCATCCAGCACTCATGAAGAATAGGAATACGTCAGAAAGAATCTGCGTCAATTACAAAGCGCAATCTTGTTTGAAATCTCAATAATTAGCTCATTAAAATACCAAATTACAACAGAGCGTCGCTTTCTATAAAAGTAACGTAAGAAATGAAATGCCTGCCAAACCCCACATTACTTGACGTAATAAGAAGTAAACAAACCACACAAACCCTAGACAGCAGACAGAGAACCCCTGCTGAAAGCTACCTACGATCACGTGCCTTATGAGACAGCAGAATAAACTACGCGGCACACTGGTGCCGCTCGAAGGATGCCGGCGCCGATAGAAAAATGATGCGAGCGACACAAGACCCAGATGCCGAGGAAGTCACTGATCGATGGTGTTCCACTACGCGTTCTTAAAACGCTTTTCCGTCAGGGTTTTCGTCATCCTTGGGAATCAGAAGTCGCAGGGCCTAGATTGCTCGAGCAAAGGGGGGGGAGGTTGGGTGAGAACCCGTTATGTAAAGAAGAAGAAGAAGGCACCTCGATCACCGGAATCCTGGTTTTATTCGTCTGATTCCTGCGATCGACGTACCTCCTTCTTCTTTACCTATATTTACACCTGGGATGCGAGCATTCACCTCAGTTTTGATTATAGCAAAAAAATGGTTGATTTTGAACACCATGTGGGCAAGCGCGTTGTCATGATAAAGCAACCAGTTCCATATCGCCACTATTCGGGCCGTTTCTTTCCCCCAACTGCCTCCTCGCACAATCACTTCAGCTCTTACAAATAGTAATATCGGTTCACTATGGCACCATGATTAACAAATCCGACGCAAACGCCTCGTTTGCTGTGGAAAAAACAAACCATAAAGTTGTTGTCATCACAAAATCACCGAGAGCTTTGGCAGTGTGCTTAATAAAACAATCACTTTGTTCGCTGCGATGGCTGCTCGTGAACGTCACATGGTCAACTGAGCAGGAAGAGTGCCTAGTGAACGTACCTAGCAGGAAAGGGTAGCACTGCCAAGCCACTTACCTAGAGAAAATACTGCTCAGTTTTTTTGGGTTTCCCTTCGTAATTCCGCATAATCGAGCTATTTGTTCAATTGAAAGAAAACCTGTTTAGCGCCATGGGCACTGAGTAACGGTACAGTAGAACACCCCGATTAACGATTTTAATCCATTCCGGCACCGAGCTCGTCATGTGAAACGCTCGTCTCGCAAAACAGTAGACTTATAGGCTGCAGGCGACCGAGGGCTCACACTCTGCGAGCAAGACTCAACGGCGATCACAGGCACACATGC